GTTGGAAGCACTGTCTGACGCGTCTGCCTCCGCGACCCGGAAGGAGAAGCGGCGATGGAAGATGAAGATGGGTGAAAGCAGATGCGTACGCCAACTCCGTGCCCCCTCCCCTGTGTGGCTACATGTTTTCGTTAATAGAGCTGGACGATGAGCCATCACAAGACGACTGTACGCGTCGTGGTTTATATTTTCGATTTTTTGGTTTTACACATTTTCTTCCTATGATCCGTATATGAGAATGCTGGGGCGACGTTTAGCGAAAAACCAAATGTACGGAAATGTGTTGTATAAAACCAAATGTGTAAAATTACACTGATGGAAAGTTGATAGTTGATTGTACATCAGAAATAAACTTTAAAAGCTGAAAATACTGTATTTGAATGGAGCTTCGGTGGAGATCGCTAGAATCGTTTTATCCGGTACTTCTCGGTAAATAGTTCGTTCTGCCTTTCAAAGCCAATCAAAAAACCAGTGACAGAATTAATTGTGATGCTAGTTCGATTGACCTGGATGCAAATTAATTATATAGGTGGCAAGGCATCACGATAATCCTCGTGTGAAATGATGTGCTTTCAGTCTGTGTTTTCCTTATTTTATATTTTTTTGCATTAATTTTTTTTCGATTTAGGAGGAATGCAGGAACGTGACAGAAAACGGTAAACGCCCTCGGATGTGCACCCCCTCTAAGCAAGAATTCGTCGGCAACGAGTCCAAAAACACTGCCTTGCCTTACTTCTGGTACTACGACCCGCTTATACTCAGTTACCTGCGCATGTACGCCTCGTCGCTGGCATCCGGTCAAGTGGCAGCGGCCGTGCGGCCATGTTTTCAGCCGCTGAGCGACGCCGCTAAGCGCGACGGTATCGACGCTGTCGCGCGGTCCAGTGGTCTTAGCGGCTTCCAGCAGAATCCGTTCTACTTCCCTCTTGCCAAGGAGAAGTTACCAAGGATATCGTAAGTTTTTTGTCGTTGTGTTTTTCGCTGTTTTGTGCTCTGCGTTACTACCCAAATGTTTCAGAAACCAGACACCAAATCCAGGGGATGTTAAGCCTTTGTCAGAGAATGCGCCGAAGTTCGACGATCAGTCAGCGCCGTTCTTCGTCGACGGTGACCAACCCGTTGAACATATAAGTAAGCGACAGAACAGTTAAGCTTGAGTTGACTTGAGCTAATTTCATAAAACACGAAACTAATCTTGTGTACATGCCAGACTAATGGAGGAACTTAGTAGCAATTGCATATCAAAAACAGGTTGTTAATCTTCCTCTGCTCCGCATTAACCATTGGATGGTATCAGTAATCTACCAACCATACTTTTGGCTATAATTATTTGATGGATAGACCTTCAATGGTCTCAGCTGGTGCGAGAATATAAACATTGATCGACTCCAACTGCTCGGGTAGATCTGTCTGTGCAATAGCAAATATTTTGAATAGGCTTACTTGAAATAAGGCATAATCGACTAACCTCAGCCGTATATGAATGACTTTACTCTGCAACGAGCTGTCCATCCAGTGGAAGAACTGGTCGACTGATGAGCTGTTTCTTCCCTCTGTGACGTGGCACATCATGCACTCTGTTGGTTTGTTGCGAAAGCGACTACAAGGAACATTAACTGGTTATCGTTCAGAGGGCAGTGGAACAACCGGAAAACGGTGAAATGAAAAAACTTTAAGACTAAAATTCACCTCTCGCAGTAGTGTTAAAAAATGACAAGTCACGAACCCTGTACCAAGACTCATTGTCGACTTTGGTGGTTCCTCGCCTTAAGATACAAAATCGTTGCTTATCGTCCACGAGAATTGACTTGTTGCGCGTTTTCTGATCCAATGCTGACCACTCTAGACAAGTAACGAAAAGCGTCTATTTAATTGCGCTGGTCGCCACGCCTAGATCCCTCTAGAAATCTTAGTACTCTTGTAAGTTCAGTGGACAGTTGTAAATAAAAATTTTAATATATAATAGTGCCTCTGCGTTTTCGTAGCACGTGAATCAATATCATTGTGAATTAATATTTTGTCGCTTAATTTTTACTCGAATTAAATTGCTGATATTCTTCTAACGTCTGTTCGCGATCGGTCTTATTTGTGATTTTAGGTGAACAAGCGTTGAACAAACTGTTGACCAGGTACGTCTCGGATCCTTTGGGCATCAGCGTTATCCGCAGTCGTTTTGTGGAGTACGCGCAACTCATGGAACAAAGACTCGGTTCGATGATGACTCAGAACCGACTCCTGCAACAGGAAATCGCCTGTTTGCGCAACAAGCAGACGGTGTCCATTCCGAATTGTTCGTCTGTGCGGTCGTGCGTCACGAAGTCGTGCTCGTGAAAAGAAAAGAAACCACACCTTGCGCCTGCACCGCAACGACCTTCATCTTGTCCCCCGTTCGTCGTCATCGACGACGTTGTTTGTGTGCTGCAGCTGACGAAACATTATTATTTTACATCGCACGTCTCGTTGCAAGCGATGACTGACTGCTGGATTTTGAACGCGCTGTCGCCGTTGTAATCGTTGTATCGCTGCTCGCCCGCCCCGATGGCGAGTGTCGAACGGGTGGAGTCGGTGCCGATCGCTGCTCCGTCTCATCACTACTGGACGTTGCCCACCGACCATTTTGGCTTCTCCATCTTCTTCATCTTTCTCTCTTCTTGTTACTGAAAATGGCAACATAGTCGTAGGTCTATCTCTGTTCTGATAGAACTGATAGCATTATGTCCGGTAGATAAATACTGCGCTGGTTTACGTCTGATTCACAGCTAATGGTTATGTTGACGTTGTACAGTCAGTCGCCTGTACAGTTTTGTATTTTTCCAACTTTGTAAGTCATGATCATGCGTCTTTTCGCATCGTTTTTTATACCGAAGATTTGATGACTTGTTTCTAAAAATTAATTAGAATTTGGCAGTTTACGATGTACAGTGTTGCGCGCTTTTCTTTACAAGTTTTCTCCTGTTTCCTGTGAATCATTCGCGGCAACAGATTTGCTGGTATTCTTCAGCTGTTGATCTGTTAATAGCTGATGCTACTTATTAGTTACTGTTCGTTTTTGATGGACCCGGTGTTATTTTATGTGATGACATGGGTATTGTTTGCATCTGTATTCATAATTTCAAGTTTACCACTTATGTTCAGGATTTTGACCAGTTTTGACTTTTGTACTTTATTGTATAGGATAAAATTCGCAAGCTCGGTGTCCGTTTTGTTTAAACTGTTTTTTTCAGCATCGTTTTCAAACAAGCGAGCCTGACTTTTCGGCGATACGTTCAAGCAGTGCTACGAAAAAATTGAATGAAACTTTATTTACCTAGATTTTATTTACTATTTGAAAAAAAAACGGTGATGAACAAACCTAGGAGGTAAAAGGAAAATGAGCAAATGAGATAAATACAACGACCAAACAACCTTAGCGGTGCGAAATTGTTAGGCATGATTTTGACCAAGTGTTATTTTCTCCATCCTGTCATCTTCTACGAAAAACGTTCATTTCTTATTCTTAATGGCTTCGTCTGTTCCGATAACAGGCATCATGGCGATAGGAATTTACAGGTTATTTCTTCGGAGATTGACGTGGTTTCTGTGTGCTGGTCAATTCCTCCTCATACTCTGTCTTGTAACTCGACCTTAAAAAAAGAAATAAACCGGCTTTTCTAAATCTTGACCATCAAATCGTACGGTAAGATGCGCACGTTACTTTTGGCCACCACGTTGCATTATTTACCAAATGTGTATGTTTCCCGCTGCTTAAGTCGCGAAAACAAGACACCTTGAAACGTCTGGGATGTCTGTCAGTTCCACTGCATTTCCATGGTGGCGGCTATGTGACACGTTGTACCCAGCTGAATATCGTTTCTGTCTTCAATCAAGAATGCCTAATTTTCTGACAAGCATGGAGTATTGCCGCTTGAACTCCTTGCCACGAAATGTTGTTCATTACTCTATCGCCCAGTGATGAACAACCAGTGACCACGGCAGTTCGCCTTTGAGTCAGGTGGCCTATCGACCGAGCAAGTCGATGCCGTCCATGAGGCTGCTTAACCTCTGATTCTTCATCCTTCGCTCTGAGAGTAGACACCATGACAATACTTGGGCATAATTTCTTAGGAATCAATAAAAACTTTAACCCCATCATTTAGTCCCTGTTTGAAATCGGGTCCACTTCTCCCAAATGAACCGAAATAAACACATAAAGAGCCAGGCATTTGATATATCTCTATTTCGTTTTCAGAATTCATTCGTTAATTTGGCAGCATCCACTAAATGATTGCACGCTAGTTTACTAACCTACGAAGGATGAAACGAGGGGGACCCAACCGGGTGCTCGAATCGACGTTCGTTCCATTATATGCTCTGTTCGTCTTACTGGCTGAACGACCGTAGTCGCAAATAAACACTAACACTGGACAGTCGAAATACGTTATTTCGTAGTTTTGCCATAAAACCATTGTGTACAATAACCACTGAAAAAATCTTGGCAGGTAAAACAGCAATTGCGTTGTTTGTGAATGAAATAATATACCCATCAAGCACTATCACTTCTGCTTAAACCTCAATGTTGTCAAGCAATAAGTTTTACTACTTTTTTCCTGTATGTAATTATTTCCTTACCGCCGCTAAGACATAATCATTTATAAGCACGCTAATTTGGCTGAATATATTATTTACATAGTACAAAATAAATTTCCACACGACAAACTCAAAAATAAATCAATCTGGCTTCGGATATGAGCGATTCCTGAGGACAATAAGGACACTTCAGCCTAAAAAGCAATATGCCAATTAAAAAAGAAACACCGTGAAATGAATGAATTCGATTAATTAAATTCGTTTTAAAAAATCATTTAGATTACTACGCAAGAAATACCCAACTCCGCCGTTGCCAGTCCCAAACCCGGTTGAGAAAGGAAGACGGTTGCAAACCTAGCGAGGTCTCCGTAAAAATTCGCCATCTGCCACTCATGGTATTGACGTCATCGAAAATTATACTGGCTTGGTCGCCGCCCGGGTTACCAAGCGCCGCGCAGGCTGTCGGGGACTGAGGTAGACTGCGATAAGTCGGCGATCAGAACCTGCTCATTGCCCTCTGCCAGCCGGGGGCGTGGCAGCACAACGACGGCTGA